TTGTCTATTACAATTGTATATTTTTGAGCCTACGAGTAACCACAATTCAATAAATGGGTTAGTGCCATTACCTTCATCAGACTCCGGCATTGTGCTTGACCACAGTGCTGTATATGGTTTGCTTCAAACCGCTGTTCACTTTATCGAATTTGTCGGAGACAAATATAGCTGTAGTTGGTCTCTTCCCTATTTAATATCACCCTCGATGTGCTTGGTGGTTGAAATATTGTGTGATACAAAATTATTGTAGCTTTCTTCTTAATGCTTCTATAGCAGAAATCCACCCCTAATATGTGAAAGACAAAGTGCACCTTGGTTCTTCAGTTCAAATTACCTCACACATCTTCTTCCAACAGATTCCCCCTCCCCCCCCCAAAACTTAATATATGCAAGTTTATCTCCCTACTGATTTTTTCCTTTCCTAGCTAGACAAAGAATGGTGTTTTGTTCAATATTATGGTAGGTGATTTTTCCCGCGTTTGCATTTCAAAGGCAAACCAAATCAAAAATTCATTTCAAATATTGAAATTTTGAAAAACCCTTTTGGCTCTAACGGATTCTGTTAGGGTAAACAATCCCTTTTCTTTTTGTTTATCAGTCTAACTAATTGAATAGAGGTAATTTTGGCCTTGCTTATTCCTTGGCGATGTGGCTGTTGCTGGACCTCTTGTTTGGCAATGTGAGAAGACTGCTCCTGAATGGTTCTTCTGATGACTGTTTGTGCCCTATATTCGGCAGAGATAGTGGGGATTTTTCTGCCCCTACCTTAAATAGGTGTTCCCCATCCCAACCCCCCTTCAATTAACACACACACACACACACAGATATCTAAATAACTAATAACTATACATAAAGTCTACTAATCATAAATTTAGTTTAAATTGGAATAAACTAGCAATTAGTTATGTGTAATGTTAAGTAATTAGTTTTGTATAAATGTTATATTTGACTAATTTGGGAATTAGTCAATTAGACTATTAGGTTGACCACTACATTACTATAAAGACTAAAAGAAATTACCCAGATTCCTGATAAGGTCAGCATTCTCAATTTTCACATCCATAGATTCAAAATATATGCTTAACTTTTGAAATTAGAATGTCGAGCATGAGTCAAATTGGATTTTGCCACATGAATCAATTGGAATTTGCTTTCTCTGTAATGCTTAACCTATGTCTCATTTTGCTATTGGATTTTTTGGTCCTGTGGGTGAATTGTTCCATATGAAGTTTTTGTTAGTTTTTTTGGAAGCAAACAGCCATAGGATCAAGTTTTTGTCTTTCCCCCATGGCCAAGGTGGGGGGGGGGGGTAGAGGCAAGGGAACCAGGGAATAAGGGAACGAACTCCGAACCTACCCATGCGGCCATGCCCCATTGCTATCCCTAATGGTGTGCAATGCATAATTGCTTAGAGCTATAATTATATTATTCATATCATCATATAATAGGAATAATTTCATAAATCTCCCGTTAAGTTTCTAACAATATCACTTAGTATTCTTGAAATTTAAAACATTATTTGCCTCCTTTATTTTCAAATTTTTATAACATTCTCGACCCAATTCAAATTATATGATTAAACTACTATATTTAGGAAAGAGAACATTATTTCATTCCAAAATTGCCTTTTGTTGTGGTCCATTAATTGTATGACAAATTAATTTAAAATCTCTTGATATTTGAAAACTTATTTAATAAAAAAATTGTAAATTTGGGGTTGAGAGATCCTTTAAAAATTCTATATTGTAAAGATGAAGAAAATAACTTTTTTCACAGTATAAACATCTCAAATAAGTTTTAAATGTAATTTTAAATATTTTCTCATTTTCTAATTTTTCAAGCCATTATCTAGATAAATAAAAATTGAAGATTCTAAACAATTTATAAAATTTATTAGATTCGCTCAAAACATTGTACATAAGAAGAAAGGGATTTTTCATCTGGTAATCTAAGGGCATACAATATGTATATAGCCCAATATTGAAGTTCTAAAATCATTGCTACCTTCTGAATTACAACACTTCTGCAGAAGAAATCTATGCTTTTGACAAAAAAAAAAAATTAACAATAATATTGGATTTATTTCTTGTTATGTAACCTTAGAGTACCAAATAAACAAACTCTAAAGGAAAACAAATTTTTTTGGAAATTCAAAACATGTTAAAAAGCTCTTATTATTGTTTGTAATTGAGAAAAACATATTGCTTATGGTTGCAGTTACTATATTGGTCCTTTTAAAAAAACGTATACCTTCAGCCTTATTTTAAATTTTGATTATAATGCTTACAATTTTTTTTTAAAAAAAGTAAGGCTATTAAAAGTACTGTTGGAAAGAAATGATTTTCTCTTTCCTAAATGAGTATTTTAATCACATAATTTGAATTTGGGTTTAGAATGTTACAAAAATTTGAAAATAGGGAGGCATGTGATAGTTTTAAAACTTCAAGGGTACTAAACGAAACTCAAATACAGCCTATATATAGATATTCTCTACTAAAGTTGCAATTTTAGGTCCTGTAGTTGCCCATTTTTTAATAGCAAAAACATGTAGTATTTTTTTTTCATTTAAACTGTGCATTGCACAATTAGTATTTCAATCAGCTTTAATGGCTGAAAATGCAATAGTTGTAGGGTCAAAACTAGGCAAATATAAAAGCTCCAGAGACATGGATTTTTCTACACTTACTTTCTTATATCCAACTTACAAATTTGTTGCATATATCTTTTTAAATTTGAGGAGTTAAATTTTTTCCTTTTTGTGGGCGGAAGGTCTTGAATATAGAATCTCTTATTTACAATCTCTCTCATTTTGCCATCTAACCCAATCCTCCTCCAATGAGTTGAGGTTAACACTTATTTTTGCCAAAACACCGTTTTAGCAGTAGGAAGTTTGAACTTCCTTACAATAGTTAACTATGCGCCCAACAGGCTGTTGGCCATGGAGCTACACTCCCGCCTGTCAAATCAAGAGTTCAACTCCTAGCCTAGTAGGTTTGGGGTAGGCGTGTTTAGGACGGAATAGGGAGGGGGAAGAGGATTAAAAAAAAAAAAATCTTGCTTACAACAGTTGTTATTGACTCATGTTTCTAAGTATTCTTAATGAAATTTTTAGCTGTGTTTTCAAGAAATTAAAGTAAAAATTTTGTCCATTAAAAATCTCATAGATATTGATTTTCAATTTCAATTATCTACTTCATAAAAGAACATAGATTATATAGCAATACAAGGAAACACAAATTCTCCCTTGTTTCATACCACTTTTCACTCTTTTTTTTTTTAATATCATAACGATTATATTGTTCCATCAAAATCAACATGGCTCATATAAAAGCCATTTTCCCTTGTGCTCCAAAAGCACAAGCCATCACTATCACAATTAAAAGGAAAAATTCTCCAAGAGTAAATTATCATGGAAATTTGCTCATCTCATTACAGATAATAGAAGAATAGAGTGGTGTTTGAAAAATCTCATGAAAATGCCAATGAAAGTCATCATAAACTATAAGGTCATGATATTCAATATCATTACCTTTAGAGTTGGCAACTAACTCTCAGAAGAGGGCGCATCATTTGGGAAGATTGTGATTACATGAAGATCATAACTCGAAACAACATGTATGATATTTTAAAAATGATAAAAGCAGAATTATATATAGGAAAGGCTTCTCATAGTATTGCTTGTCTTTCTTGGTGATGGCCTTGTCTTTGGTGCATTAGTTTCCACTAATTTATGGTAAACATTTCAAGTCCATCCATCTACAAATTTTTTCTTGCAAAGATGCACCTCAATTTGTGTTGGTAGTTATCCAGGAATCCAGGATCAACTTTTCTTTTCATTTCCCATGTTTGGATATTTATGAATATACATACATTTTGCTGTCTTTTTTTTTTTTTTAGGAAAATAATCATTGCATGGCTGGTGATCTCCACAGTTTGGATGGTCTAAACTTCATCCTATGGTTTCTAAGAATTTTGGAGGAAGATAAAAGGGTGAGTTGATAGATTGCGAATGTTCTTTACGTTTTAGTTGATAAAAAGCTCATTAATTATCAAAAGAAAAAAAAAAATTGATAGACTGATAAGATATATGTGCATGGCAGATGTTTGAAATTCTCTCTCATATTGATAATGAAACGTCATTTCTTATCCATTTTACAGTGATTCTTGTGAATAAATTTTGAACAATTTTATCAAAAGAAAATAGAAGGGTACTAACTGTAGACTTTAAAATTACTTGAATTCACACTTCAAAGGCCAACATGAGATTTGATCCAAAATTTAGTGAGTATTAGGAAATTTTTTATCCAAAATTTAGGGGGCATTAGGAAATTTATAATAAACAGACACAAAGTTTTCTTACATATCTCATTGTTAAATTATGGCTTCCCATCTACAAAGTGTTCACAAACTAACCATGATTAGAATCAAATGAGTAACACATTATGTGAACATAGTAGAAACCATCCACGCGCACTCAAAAATAATTACAGTAATGGAATTCTAAAAAAAAACAAACAACAATAGACTCATACATTTAAAAAAAATATAGTATGTAATTTTAATGAATTATTAATTTATGATATGAATTAAACCAACATGTTATGTAAAGATTTCAAAAAAAATTATATCTTATTATTTTATCAAAATATTAATTTAACTCATTAATCCAAATCGAGACCGAAAAAATTTATTATTTAATTAAAATTATTAATTTATCAAGTATTAACGTAGCCCTTTTAGTTGACGTCCCTATCTACATCAGTCGAAAAACAATCAGATACAAAATATTCTCATAACAATCTCCAGTTTGCTCAAAGCGGTAAAAATTTAACAACATTTGCATCCTTAATCACCAGCCTCTATACATGTTACAACAAGATCCCAACAAACTTAAGGCCGGAAGCTCAAAATACCAGTTATACTTACAAAGAAATCACGAGCTAACTAATGTGCATTAGATTTTCTTCCTTGACTTTCTCTACCAACTTAAATTCAACAGCAGCGAGAATGCTCGCGCCGCGCCTCTCCCAATTCTACCCTAAGGCGAGCCGCCTGTCACACAGAAAAACAAATGAGCAGGTGGATCCATGATAGCTTGTGGCAATAACTACATAACAAGAAAGAAAACTTGTGATTCATCCACTCAAGTATTGTTGGTTAATGTGATCCAAAATGCAAACAGTGTGTACAGTTGCATATGGGCTTCCAATCTTCCCCTTCTTCAAAAACAAGATTCTAAAAGCGTCAAGACACTTTGAGAAACAAAAACGACGTTATTTAGGTTAGTTATTCCTAAATGGATCATGCTGGATTGAGGCAACCTGAGTATTACATGTAATAAAGGCTCAATTTTCTTTCTCATAATGAACTATAAATGGAGAATATAAGTTTGAGAGGAAAATTTAGTCATTTGAATTACCTTGAGATTAAGTTCTTCCACCGTTTTCTCAAACTCCAAGCATCTGCATAGAAAAAGATGCGAAAGCTAAATATCCCAAATAAGATATGCCCTCCACTGTGCATGCTTAATAAGTTCCATAATTTCAAGAAATACAGGGCTCCAAGGAAGAAACAACTATAGATTGTCACACATGCTCTTTTGCCCCTCAACAATGGAAATGAGAGCCGTAATTCGTATTGCCCATTTACAAAGGTACAAGGAAGAGTTGCAAACAGCACAAGATGAAATCAGAAAACGTCCGCTCAAAGGGAGTGTGGAAAAAGGAAGGCTACCAAGGGACCCACCCCGGGCAGGGGGGGTAGTTAGAATAGAGAAGAGATCAAACAAGAGCAAGACACCATGGAAAATCATCAATAACAGACTTACTGAGCCTGGAGCTTTCTGTTTTCTTGAATCAAGTTAGCAGCCTCCCCGCTTTTTAACTCATCTTTGCAACACCAGCACGCTACAAAAACAAGAATAAATATTAGCAGCTAATCACACATATTACATATGGACTTGAACAACAAAAAATGGTAACAATGGCAGATAAAGGTCAGATCACCCTGTCATCCAAGTCCAAGTGGTCTTCCAGAGGCAAAAAAATAAATATAAAGGGGAAGAGAAAAGCAGCAGAGAGAGAGAGAGAGAGCGTCGGTTGTGACAGCATTCAAAGGGAATGTGGAATAGAAGCATGAATAAGTGCTCATAAAAGTACAGGAGAACATGATGTCTATGCTACAGATAAAGAAAGCCAAGGAAAGAAAAAGTTCCAGTGCACCACAGACCATTGTATTCCTGATGTATGCACTAAATTTATTAAAGACAGCACTAAAGCCTCTACAAAAGCTGTCCTCCAGAAGGTGGAGATATGGACAGCATAAGATACTTATTTCAAGTGAAGGTTGCGAGTACATAGTACTTTGAGGACGCTGCATAAACTTGCACACTCAATGTAACAAAGAAACCAAGAACAGTATTCACTTCATAATACTATGCTGCAGCGAATGATC